GAATAAGTGCCATAACCACATTACAGAGGTATCAGCAACAGCTTTATGGACAAAGTGTCATTTGAAGTGCATCTTGAAGAACTTAGATGGTAGCTGCTTAGGCTGGCTGGAGGCAGATGTGAACTGAACCCTGAATTCCAGGTATAGCTAATTGTACTGTATATCAGCGGTGATAAATCATGATGTAGGTGGAGAGAGGATTGTAATGGGAATGCCTACTAGACTATTACAGTAGGCAGGTAGGAGATACAGAAGACCCAAAGTATAGTTGTGACTATGGGGATAGGAAGCTGTGCACCTCCACATGTCAGAGAGATTTAGGGTCATCCTAGGCAGAATCTACATGACAGCTTTGCTGAATAGATTTCTTTTCTTTTCTTTTCTTTTTTTCTTCTGAATAGATTTCTAAGGAGTGGGAAAGATGGGAAAAGAGAAAGCAGACAAGACTGGATTTTCAGCTAGGGTATGGGAGTGACCTTACATTTCAAACATCAGGTTCTCCTTCAGATATTAGGTTTTAATTTTCAATTCTTTTGAAATAATTATCCATGTTATATAGTTCAGCATTGTTTCAGGAATGTTAGGGTGACCAGGAGAATGGTTAAGATGTAGTATATGTGGAGGTCTTTCACATTTCAGATACTAAATGATGAAATCAAATGACTCTCCAGGGCCTCCCTGGTGGCACAAGGGGTTAAGACATAACCTATGAAGCTATCCTCCGCCAGGGAGCAACACACATGGCACAGCAGACCTCTCCTGACTCGCTGCTGCTCCCCTCAGCAGTGTATTTCAATTCATCTGCCTGTTCTGTTCCCCACTCTGTCTCTGGTGAATCCTCTCATCCCCCACACTTCTGGCCTGTACCCCAGTTTTTGTATGCATAAATAAATAAATCTTAAAAAAAAATGACTATCCAGTAACTGATCTATATGGTAGAGAAGCTGTTGCCTCATTCTAGGGGCTTTTTCTGCCTTTTCTTTCAGTCATTCTGCTCTTTAGGATGTAAAATAAGCAAGAATCACTTGTAGTCCTCTGCCTATTCACTTATTCCAACCAGATTTCCTACTTTCCGTAGTCAAGGGGTACAAAACATTTCTTTTCTTTTAAAACGTATTTTATTTATTTATGCATACAAGTGCTGGTGTGTAGGCCAGAGGTGGGGGTAGGGGGTGAGAGAATTCACCAGAGACAAAATAGGGAGCCTAACAGGCTGATGTACTGAAATACACTTCTGAGGGGAGCAGCAGAGCAAGACAGGAGAGGTCTGCTGTGCCATGTGGATCAGCTCCCTGACAGGGATCTAACTCATGCTGCAGAGGCTGTGGATAGCTTCATAGTGCTGACTTAACCCCTTGCTTTACCAGAGAAGCCTAACATTTGTTTTATTTTCTTCCATCATAAAGGATAGCCTGTTGGTCTTTTAAAAATTCTCTGTCATGTACTAGATAATTGCACAAAAAGGAAATGAAAAGAACATCTTCATGGAAGCTATTAACAAGCTTCCAGACCTGAATATTTATGTAATTTCTTCCATTTGCCATTCAGCCATAATGGGTTTCTAGATAAAAATGAGACTGCATTCAGAATTATTTTCAGGAGGGAATGCTGCTAATAGAGGAAATGTGTTTCCTGGCAGCAAAGCACTAATGTAACTGTCAGCAATTTACCAAATAACCGGGTATGCCTGCCTTGTTTTTGTAACTCTTATGCGAGTATTGTTTAGGGGGAAAAATAATGCTCTTCTAATGTGTTGTGTCTCTTGCTCTGAGACTTGCTTCACACATAGATATTATCTATACTCTCTGTTAAATTCTCCTCATCCTTGAAAATTTGAGGGCTTTCTGGCTGCTGGCTGAGAATTCTTTACATGTTATTTCTTGGGAATTTTAGAAGTCCTTGCCTTTTCTGAATCCATCCACAAGGTAATACATTATTATCCTGGATCCTGAAGTCATACAATTTGTAAGACACCATCTTATGCAAAAGAAAATAATACATAGGGGCCTCCCTAGTGGCGCAGGGGTTAAAGTCTCAGTGTTATCAAGCTATTGCCAACCACTGCGGGCCTGAGTTCGATCCCTGGCCAGGGAGCTGACCTACATGGCACAGCAGACCTCTGCTCCCCTGTCTTGGCTGCTGCTCCACTCAGCAGTGTATTTCAGTACATCTGCCTGTTGTGCTCCCCATTCTGTCTCTAGTGAATCTCACCCCCTGCATCCCTGGCCTACACCCCAGTTCTTATATGCATAAATAAATAAATATTAAAAAAAAGAAAAATATACGTATAAAGAGAGAGATGTATACAACTAACATTTAGAAACTCAACATTTTATATAGATTCTGTATTAAATTAGAAAAAAAAGATGCCCAGCACATGCTGGATTTACAAGTTTATTTACAGAATCTCCATTTTTATTGAAGAGGAGATTTAGGGTCAGAAAATTGAAAATTGTGAGGCTGCACAACCAGCTCAGATATAGGATTCAACCCAAGTATGCATTACTCTAAATATTAGCTTGCTTCTCTACTGTTATATTCTGTTGCTATTAATGCAGCGGTGATTCAAATAAGAAATATATGTGGGTTAGAATCATTAGGGAAATCATCATGGAATGGCATAATGAAAATATGAAACATGGATCAGAACCTGGAGTCAAGTACTGTAAAAAAGTTTTAAAAAAACTTGAATACTTTAGTATGTACTAGGTACTTTCAAAATATATTCACTCACTTAGTCCTGAGGTAGGAACAGTTAATTGTTTTCATTTTTGGATGAGGAAACTGGGGGAAACAGATTTAGCCTCTTGCTTGAGTTCACACATTCAATCAGTGGTGGTATCCAGATGAGAACTCACAACAGCCTGATTCCAGAACCTCTGACATAGTCACTGAAGAGGCAGGGCCAAATCAAGGAGGATGCCTTAGGGCTGAGCTTAGTAGATGTGAAAAAACAAAAAGGTAAAATTGTGTGTAGGGGTGGGTGGTGAGGGATGTAGTTTGGGGAGAGCTGTATGCCAAGAAGATATAAAGGTAGACAGTGAGCAGGAGTTGAGAAGCTGGAGGAATGCATCTTGACTTTTTCCTAGATGGGAGGAAGAAGAGGTGCAGAAGAGAATCAGGGATAGAAAATCCAAGGAAAGAGAAATTGAGGATATTCTCAGTTTCCTACAATTCCCTGAGTAATTGTAAATGCTAATATTGATTTGGAGACATCTTGAGGATTGTTAGAGTCATTAACAAAACTGAGGACTTTCCATAAGACAGGATTTATTTATTTTTTAAAGATTTATTTATTTTTGCATACAAGAACTGGGGTACAGGCCAGAGATGCAAGGGGTGAAAGGATTCACCAGAGACAGTGGGGAACAGAACAGGCAGACTGACTGAAATACACTGCTGAGGGGAGCAGCGGGTGAGACAGGAGAGGTCTGCTGCGCCATGTGGGTATCTCCCTGGTCGGCCAGGGATGGAACTCATGCTGCAGAGGCTGTAGATTGCTTCCTAGTGCTGTACTTAACCCCTTGCGCCACCAGGGAGGCACCATGATTTATTTTTTTACATTGTCATAGGGTTCTTCTAATAGTAATCCTTATTGTGTCAGATCTGATTCAGCATTTTGAACAACACAGAAATCCTGCTAAAATATATCAGAATGATGAATGGATGTGTTCCTTTTGTCCGAGATTTTCAGCTTCCTCTCACATTAGAGGGCAAAAGGCATTAAATACCCAACATTCTAAGGTGGTGGCCAGAGGCTCTAGGGGAGGAGATTCCTTTCTACTTCCAGAACCTGCCTTGCTACCTTTAATTTCCAATCTGAGCAGCTGCATGACTTTCAACTGGGGAATGTAGTGCTTGCAGTCCCTTTCTTTCCTGTGTGCAGGGAAGAAAGTAGCCCATCCTCAAACATGCATGTCAACCTTGTCTACACATTAAAATAATTCAAGTTGCTGATGTCCAGGTTGCACCTTAATCCAGTTGAATTTGATCTCTTTGTGTGGGACTCCAGTATCTGTGATTTTGAACACTGTCCAGGTGATGCCAATAAGCAGCCCACCTTGAGAACCCCTATAGAACCCCTGCTGCAATATGTGAATGGGCTGAGGTGGGGAGAGGAAGTCTTTTATTGCCCAGGATAGACTCTGATGAAATTCTTCGAAGACAGCAAATATCTCACTCAGTATCTTGCTAAATAAACAAATTCTGTTGATTCCTTGAATAACATGGTTTGAGCTGCGAGGGCCCCCTTATAGGCAGATGTGTTAGTGTTTTTTTCTATCATCAGGTTCTGTATTCAGATTCAACTAATCCACATTCAACCACCCAGAGATGTGGGTTGGTTGGGTCTACAGATGCACGCAGAACCCAACAGACTGTAAGTTATAGGAATTTTTGATTGTTTGTGGTAGGTGCCCCTAATCCCCCGCCTTTTTCAAGAGTCAACTATAAAAAGTGGAATTAAGCTTGCACCCTTTTTTGTAGCAGGATGCTATATTTACCTTATATATATTTACCTTATATTTACCTTATATATAAATATAAAGGTAGACAGTGATCAGGAGTTGAGAAGCTGGAGGAATGCATCTTGACTTTTTCCCAGATGGGAGGAGGAAGAGGAGTACTAGTAAGGTGCAGAAGAGAATCAGGGATAGAAAATCCACGGAAAGAGAAAGGATCAAGATTGGACTTTTTATGAATAGCAAAATTTATAATAAAGTGAAGAAAATTAATGTCTTATTTGTCATCTTAAAAGCTGCATTTTATTCTCATACAGTAAATGAGTTTCTTCCCAGCAATAGATTAAATCATCAACACTGGGATGGGCTAATGGACATCTGCATGGCCAGGTGGGACATACAACAAAATCTTATTCTAGAAACTTCACTCTGTATTCTGACCATTTGCTTTAAGATTTCAGCTATTTCAGTAGGAATATATTTGCTTCTTTGAAATGAAAGCAACTGTTTCATTGCTTTCTTATTTTCTTGGGTTTCCAGAGCTTAAGAGATGGCTGCTCAGTGTGTCTCGAAGGTGGAGCTGAATGTTTCCTGTGACAATCTTTTGGACAAAGATGTAGGGTCAAAGTCGGACCCTTTGTGTGCTTTGTTTTTGAATACGAGCGGTCAGCAGTGGTATGAGGTAATGTTAAATACTGAGACTGAAAAGCAAATTGAATTGCTCTTTTGACAATGAAATTGAGTTGCTCTTTTAATAATGTGAAGAGTTTATTTAAAATGTTAAAAATAATAAAACCATCCACTCTGTTAATGCGATTTTTCAGGTAATTTGTTTGATTATGGATTAAAGTATACCTTTGATTTAAGGAATCTTTTCTTATTTTGGTTGTGGTTATAGGTTGACCGCACAGAAAGGATTAATAATTGCTTGAGCCCCAAATTTTCCAAGAATTTTGTTATTGATTACTACTTTGAAGTGGTTCAGAAATTGAAATTTGGGATTTATGACATTGACAACAAAACTATTGATCTGAGTGATGATGACTTCTTAGGAGAATTTGAATGTACTCTTGGACAAGTGAGTATAAATAACAGTTATGATATATTTTGTCTAAATGTTTACTAGAGAATTAGTTGTTTTTGATAAGTGCTTGTTAGTTTAATTTTTAAAGTTGAAAAATATGTAATCACTTTAAATAAGTTTATAATAATATGGTGGTAGACCTGAGCATTATAGAACTTACCTTATTTTTCATAAGGGACCAGGTGTTTTTGTCACTGTCTGTTAATACTTTTGAGGTAGGAATGTGTTATTAGACATTTCAACAAATAATACCATTGCTCTAACTGCTTTGTTGTTTTTTTTTTTAAGGATTTATTTATGCATGCAAGAGCTGGGGTGTAGGCCAGAGGTGCGGGGGTGGGGGCGGGCAGGGATTGTGAGAAGAATCACCGGAGACAGAGTGGGGAGCAGAACAGGTGGATTGAATGAAACACGCTGAGGGGAGCAGCGGGGGAGACAGGAGAGGTCTGCTGTGCCATGTGGACCAACTCTCTGACTGGGGATCAGCGGCTGCCAATGTTTCATAGTGCTGAGAGTAGCCCCTTGTGTCACCAGGGGGGCCCCACTTTGCTGTTTATATTTTGTCTTGTCACAAATGTTATCAAAATAACAATAACTCCTGATGTTCTGCCTACCATGATTGATACCTCGTGACCTCCAATATTCCAATGCCATGCTTTACCTGGTTTGCTTCCCCTCAGTCTTAAGCTTATCACATTAAATTTTACTCGCCTAGTAAATGTTCTCTGACCCCCTAATGGTTTATAGCACCTCCCTATGCACTTAGCACTCTACTGCCTGTGATTTAACAATCACCATATTTTGTTGTAGTTGCTTTATTGCTTGTCAGTACATGACAAGTTCAGTCAGGGTAGGGATATATCGGTGGACTCACCGTTTACTTATAGCTCAGTTTGACTACTAAGGAGAGATCATGGACATTTATGTAGATTGGGGAAGGTTTTAGGAGGGAGTAGTCATTTTATCTTCAGTGGGTGACATTTATTGCTCAGCTTTGTCTTATGTGAGCTTGTTTTCAGTTTTTTTTTTTTTAAATAGAGGCATGTTTTTATTTATTTATTTCTTCGTTTGTTTGTTTGTTTTTGTTTATACATGCACTGGGTACAGTCAGAAGAGCGGGAGGGTGAGAGAATTCACCAGAGCCAGAGCGGGGAGCAGAGCAGGCAGAAGGATCGAAGTACACTGCTGAGGGGAGCAGCGGGCGGCAGGAGAGGTCTGCGCGCCATGCGGGACCCTCCTCTGGTGGCCGGGGAGCAGCCGGGGATGAACCGGCGCCGCAGAGGCCGCGGGCAGCTTCGCAACCCAGCGCTCAACCGCTGCGCCACCGGGGAGGCCCTGTTTTCAGTTTTTGAATTGTTTGGAGCTCACAGTATTTCTTATGTATCAAGTACAATATGAAACTGATCAGTTTTCTAAAACTTTGATGAAGAGTAGCCAAGAGGATATTACAGAAGTACTTTTTTGAAAGAAAAAAAAATCACTGGGCCTCCCTGGTGGTGCAAGGGGTTAAGACGCAGTACTATGAAGCTGTCTGCAGCCACTGCAGCACAAATTCCATCCCAGGCCAGGGAGCTGAACTACATGGTGCAGCAGACCTCTCCTGTCTTGCCCACTCCTCCCTCAGCAGTGTATTTCAGTCAGTCTGCCTGTTCTGTTCCCCATTCTGTCTCTGGTAAATCCTCTCACCACCACCCCCGCCCTTACCCCTGGCCTGTACCCCAATTCTTGTATGCATAAATAAATAACTCTTAAAAAAAATCACAGCACAGCTAAAATTGTAATGAACTTACAGCAAACTATCTGTTTACAGATATTGTAAACTATCTGTATACAAGTACCTAGGTCTATTATATTTGAATATACATGGTATTTTGTGGGGTTTGAATGTTAAAGTTGTGCTGTGCCATGTGGAATGTTAAAGTTGTGTGTCAGTTGAAAAAAGTTAAATTCCATTTCTTGACTTCTGAGACTCATTTTTTATTTAAAGGAGTTTCAGATCAGTGATTTGTGTGTTGTGATATGAATTTACCCCTTTTTCTACTATAAAGAGAAAGTTAAAACTTTGAGGTGTTGATAAAGAAACTAGTGGGTGAGGAGTTTGTCTATGCTGTGATTGGCTCTTTGGAAATCTTTTCCAGTGGATTTTAAGTATGTAGGTGCTTTTATAATCTCTAACTCTTTAAGGAAATAGCCTTGTTGTGTCCATTCTTAGTGACTTTAAGTGAACTTTATACTCAACCTTTTTTTTAAACTTTTCAGTTTAAAGATTCACATGAACTCCTTGTTTTATTTTCCAATGTTAACAGATTGTTTCCAGTAAGAAGCTAACTCGACCACTACTGCTTAAAAATGGCAAACCTGCTGGGAAAGGAACCATTACGGTAACATTAAAATGTTCTGTCTTTAGCAAAAGAATTAGCTCACCAGGACTTGCTGAAACTGTAATATGTCAGACAAATATTCTACAATCATGCTTTATCATTTGATCCTCTGTGTTGCCCTCTGGCCACTCTTGCCTTATAATTATCATAGATGGGAGTGTATTATGTCAAAAAAGGGGGAAAATGTAGTGAAGTATAAGTTGCTTATAAAGTCAGGAGTACCGTGGTGCTTGCCTCTCCCTCTTGGAGAGAAAACTACTTAGTAATCTGAATGCATCAATTTGGTACTCTACAAATCAACCATAGTTCCCTCAACCCCTCCTTATGACAAACTTTCCATAAAGGATTTTATTCCAGGTGGATCTTATATTATGACATGGACTTTGAACTTCTCAACACTTAACTATCTTATTTTGTGCCTACACTCTGCTGCCCTTCCTCCCATTCACGTTTTCTATTGCTTATAACTGGCCCAAGGCAAATAAATATATACTTTATTTTACTTTAGATTTCAGATTATATAATGCCATGCTTTTAAATCTTGTATTTTCAAAAATTTCTGTCCAGATAATCATTGCCTGGTACAATAGTTTTCTAACTTTAGCTCTGAGAATGGAATACTGGTTCTCTGAGAAAGCCATGTTTGAGAGTTACTGTGATTATCAAACACATTTTTCTGAGCAGCTATTTTGCTCTGAGGCATAAGAAAGTTCAGTCTGTTAGGGTGTTGATTTCTGTTGGACAGAGAACAGGATCAGTAGTTATTGCTCTTTATAACCTGGATTTTTTTTTTTTTTTAAGTGTAATAGATTAAGCCATGCAGTTTACATTGGATGAAAAATATTGACCTGATGTTTCAATTTATAGTTTTCTCTAGGTAGGATTTACTGTACTTCTCAATGTTTGAAGAGCTTTAGCTAGTTTTATGCAAGTCTTCCAGAGTTTGCTTTGTCACTGGAATGGGGAAGATATAGTTTGGGTAATAATATTTGAAAAGGAAGTTGCATAATACAGATTTAGCATATTTAAGGGAAATATTTCATATGCATAAAAGAAATAATGATTAATCTTTATGGTGCTTTTTTTGTTGTTAATCCTTTTAGAATTTATTTTTGTTATTATAGCATTTATATACTATTAGATAACAGAATAAATCAGTATTTTCTCAGTATATTAAAATTTCTCAAATATTTCCTTTCATTTTTCTTATTTATTCACAGATTTCAGCTGAAGAAATAAAGGATAACAGAGTGGTCTTGTTTGAAATGGAAGCAAGAAAACTGGATAATAAGGTGAGTAGGTGATGCAGACTTTAAGACGGATGTGTTTTGCCTCACATTGATTCCTTTTTGAGAAAATAATAATAAAAAAATATTATGAACTCCATCATTTACCTCTTTCCTCTAGATGTAATAGAAGGGTTCCTCTTAAAAGAGGAATTAGTAGAAACATTAAATTATTTTAAAAGGCATTTAAGAAACTAGTTGGATTACTTAATAAGGAAGAAAGGCAAAAATTTCATACTTTATAAATTTTCCTTTTTGTGTTGAAAAGTAAATATTTTTTTATGAAATCAAAATACCAGCATATAATAACACAGCAATTTAGTATTTAGCATGGATTAGAGTAATTCTTTGAGTGATTTGTATAGTTAACTATAATCTAGTTAATATTCTTCATCTTTTTTTTAAAAAAAGATTTTCCTTTAAAAGAAAAATAAATTGATGCAACTATTCACAATTCAGATATAGAATTATAGGGCTTTATATCTTTAACTCTGTATTTATACTTCTTTTTTTGAGATTTATTTATTTATGCATACAAGAATTGGGGTACAGACCAGGGGTGCAGAGGGGTGAGAGGATTCACCAGAGACAGAGTAGGGAGCATAACAGGCTGATCTACTGAAATACACTGCTGAGGGGAGCAGTAGGTGAGACAGGAGAGGTCTGCTGCATGATGTGGGTTAGCTTCCTGACCGGAATCAAATTCGGGCTGAAGTGGCTGCTGATAGCGTCTCCATAGTGCTGCAACTTAACCCCTTGTGCCACCAGGAAGGCCCTGGAACTTTTAATTCTTATTTTTGTTCTACTAGAGACAACTTAATGAACTTTCAAAAGAGTTCTGTATTCTGAACTTGAAAACAGTAATAATGATATTTTGTGTTTCGCATATGATTATTTCTAAGTTAAATTAGATGGCATACCAATATGTTTTTGGAAAATTGACTTCTCTGTGTATAATGTTATTAGCTTCATAAATGGGGCAGACAGAGGCTTACTATATTTCCTAAAGATTCTCCTTACAGATAAGGTTTAATATGAGTAGTTCTGCATAGTCTTTGTGTTTATAGATATATTTTTTAGATTTATTTATTTTATTTATTTATACAAGCACTGGGTACAGTCAGAAGCACAGGAGGGTAAGAGAATTCACCAGAGCCAGAGCGGGGTACAGAGCAGACAGACTGACGAAGTACACTGCTGAGGGGAGCAGCGGGCAGCAGAAGAGGTCTGCGCACCATGTGGGACCCTCGCCCGGCAGCCAGGGATCAAACTGGTGCTGCAGAGGCTGTGGGAAGCTTTGCAAGCCAGTGCTCAACCGCTGCGCCACCAGGGAGGCCCTGTGTTTATATTTTTAACTACTAAATGTATTACTTAACATTAGTCTGTGCTGAGGAGGAAAATAATACTATATTACTTCTTTCTGTATTATTGAGGTTAATTCAGTAGTCAAAAAAATCCTAAGTTCAGGGACATACCTGCATATATTACTGTGAGATTAATAGGGAACCTTCCATTTTGACAAAAAATAAATAATACACACTGGAGAATATGGAAATTTCAAAGTGAAGATAAATGAAATGAAAAAATTAAATCATCTGTAATCTTAGTGCAAGAGTCTAGCCTCTGGATTTATATATCCTTTCAGATCTTTATCTCCCTATGTAATTGTGTCTGTGCATTGAGGACAACAATAAGGGTATTTGGGAGCACTCGCTGTGCTTGAGCATTGTACAGGAATGCTGTGTGAATTACAGAGGAAATAGAAAATGTACTTAGTGCCCTTGAAGTACTTCTTTTGTGTGTTACACATATCTACCTCTATTTCCTTATGTGTAGAATTCGTGAAAAAGGTATTGGATAGAAAGGTGAGATATAAAGTCAATTTCAGTTAATTATATGTGATCTGGTCAAAGTTCTCTAACTCCTCTGAATCCATTTTCTCACTAGTAACCACTCTGCCCCTTGTAGAGTGATGACTCATTCTGTATATCATTTATATACAACTACTCAATGCTATGTGAATGAATACTGTTAATAATGAAAACAAGCCAAAATATTTCGTTGATTATGCTCCCTTTCGATCATACTTTTTAGAACGTTTTTTTTTTTTTTTTTTGAGAATTAAGGATGTAATATGTAGGATTATGAGCATTTATCATGGATGCCTTCAAAGTTCTAGTTAGACTTCAGCAAATTTGTAAGTTTGTGAGGAACATGATGGGATTTGGGATTTGTATTTACTAATATATATTTGTATTATGGTTTCAGAAAAGAATAATTGTTCTTTATTTTTAAATGTAGGACCTGTTTGGAAAGTCAGATCCATACCTGGAATTCTACAAGCAGACATCTGATGGAAACTGGCTAATGGTTCATCGAACAGAGGTGAATATTTGAATTTGAAAAGTAGGCTTGAGGTTACCTTTTGAATTGTCATAATCTGAAATTAAAAAAATTGCAATCAGAGTTCGGATACATATAGACTAAGACATAGGTGGGTTCTGTTAATATAACCCCATAAATTTTTAAGCATTTGTTGCGTCGAGACAACACCACACTGACAAACGGGAGTCCTGGAGCAGGCTACATAATGCAGGATGCCACTGAACAAGATCCTGGCCCTTTTATTGACACACGTAATTGGTTTTTAGGAGATTAGGGAGATTAAGGAAAGGGGAAGGGTATAGAAGATTAGGGATTGTGAGTCTGCCCTCCAGGCACTTCTAATCTACTTGATGCTACACCCTAATCCCCAGCCTTGGTTCTAATCTTATCAACAAGGCTCTCCACTGATCAGCTTCTGGGGTCCCTTGTCATACATCGGTCCTCGGCCCCCGGGCATTCCCTGTCATACCTCGTGATGTATGTTATGCATCGGTCCTCAGCCCCCTGGGCTTTCTGGACATACCTCCTAATGCTCATGTTATGCATCGGTCCTCAGCCCCTGGGCATTCTGGACATAACTTGTGATGCATAACCTTCCTAGTGTGATCCAGCTTTGTGCTCTTGTTTGATCTGAAGGGCTTAAGGGTTTGGGCTCCTGTTCCTAATTGGCCGGACCACTTTGACCTTGTTTAGGTGACAAAATGGCGGCCGAATAGGCTGCCTACGAGTAGCAGACCCAGAGCATTCTCTTATTTTATTTATTTATTTATTTATTTATTTATTTATTTATTTATTTATTTATTTGTGGGACCCTCACTGGTGGCTGGGGAACGAACCGTCGCTGCAGAGGCTGCGGGCAGCCTCGTAGCCCAGCGCTCAACCGCTGCGCCACCAGGGGAGGCCCATTTTCTTATTTTATGTTAAAGAATAGTCCTAATTCACCTTGTACTCTCCCTGTTCCAGATCTGGAATGAGCCATTTTTTTTTTAAAGTTATCCCATTCCTTTATAAGAGTAGTAGTATTTAGACATTAGACCTGAATGCAAGAAGTACTCATTGCTACTAGGATATCATTACTTTTAGAACTTTTCTTTGAACAGCTGGGAAACATACATGTATTTTATGAATATATACACATATTTTACAATTTTAAAATCATGAATATGAACTATCCTACTCAAATCAAACATAGCAAGGTTCTTTCCTATCATTTCTTTTTCCTTATTTGAATATTCGGTATTCCATAATGAAAACTTTGTTTTCCAACAAAATCATTAATCTGCAATTTTTCTTTTTAATATTTATTTATTTTTGCATATAAGAACTGGGGTGTAAGCCAGAGGTGTGGGGTGGGAAGATGGTGGTGAGAGAATTCACCAATGACAGTGGGGAGCAGAACAGGCAGATCCACTGAAATACACTGCCAAGGGAAGCAGCGGGAGAGGCAGGAGAGGTCTGCTGTGCCATGTGGGTTGGAACTCGTGCTTCATTGGCTGGCAATAGCTTGATAGCACTGTGTCTTTAACCCCTGCACCACTAGGGAGGCCCTGATCTTCTGCAATTTTTAAGTGTACCTTGTAATGGTGGCTATACTTCCCAAATAGTTTTTTTCTCCTGTTAGAATGTATCACAACTAGTCAATCTATCACATTTTTCATATGACAGTTGTATAATATTGCCCTAGATAATTTTTCATTGAAAAACTTGAGTGAGTAAAGATGTAAAAGATAAATAGCAAGAATTTAGGAAAGGCAAGAACAGAACATGAATGAATTGAATATTTTTCTAATTGGTTTTTGAATCTTTATTTTTATAGGTTGTTAAAAACAACTTGAATCCTGTTTGGAGGCCCTTTAAAATCTCACTTAACTCCTTGTGCTATGGAGATATGGACAAAACTATAAAGGTAATTACAAAATTGTATCTATCCATCTATATATATATATATATATATATATATATATATAAAATGCACACACATATATATTCTATGCCCACAAATCCCATTTATAAAATTAATTGATTAGACAGAATTTTTCTTTTAAAGATTTATTTATTTATTTATACAAGATCCGGGGTACAGACCAGATGCGCGGGAGGGTGAGAGGATTCACCAGAGACAGAGCGGGGAACAGAACAGGCAGACTGAGTGAAATACACTGCTGAGGGGAGCAGCGGGCACGACAGGAGAGGTCTGCTTGCCATGTGGCTTGCTCCGAGGCTGGCAGGGATCAAACTGGTGCTAAGAGGTCTGCCGTGCCATGTGGCACCCTCGCTGGCTGGCTGGGATGGAACCACTGCTGCAGAGGCTGCGGACACCTTAACAGTGCTGCGCTCAACTGCTGGTGCCACCAGGGGAGGCCCTGATTAGATAGAATTTAAAAAAAATAAAATGAAAGAGCAGATATCTGTCAGGTTGAATTTTATTTATATTTAACAATACTAGAATAAAAATGTCTCTCATAAATAGTCAGTTTGAAGGAGTAGATAAGCCTTTCTTTTTGTTAATCTAATACTTAATCAAATGTGATTTTTATTTTATATTTCATTTTTTTAAATTAAATGTCCAATTTAAATCTTTTCTCCCTTTCGATAAAATTCCTTTGCTCAGAGGATAGGAATCTTTTTTTGGTGTATCCCTTGCAAATAAAAGCAGATAGTACTTCAACGTAGAACCCAGAGCTTCTTGCTTTTAGTGGCAGAGCAGAATACTAATGGCATTTTCTGTAGTTTATTTTCAGAGGAGGATACAGTTCTTTGAAAACATTTGGATGACATTATTTTTAGACTGTCAGGAACACAGAGTAGGAACAGGGAACAGCAGCAGAAGTCTAAGAATTTTTAAAAAGTTTTAATGTATAGTTAGTTATTGAAGCATATATATTATTTATAGACAGTTTTATTCTAGAGTCACTTCTTTACTTAAGAGTCCAGATAGAAACCTTTTCTTACGTTCAAAGGTCTACAAACTGAGGTGGGTATTTGGTTTGTTTGGATTTTTTCTTTTGGTAGTGACTATGGCAAAAGCAGTGAGGTTATGGCATGGAAAAAGCATCGGGTTTAGAGTCAGGATCCAGTCCTTATCTTGATTTAGCATTTTATTTTATTATTTTTTAAAATATTTAATTATTTATGCATACAAGAGCTGGGGTACAGGTCAGAGATGCGGAGGGTGTGTGTGAGAGGATTCACTAGAGACAGAGCAGGGAACAGGCAGACTGACTGAAATACACTGCTGAGGGGAACAGCAGGACAGAGAGGAGAGGTCTGCTTCTCCATTTGGGTTGCTTCCTGGGCGGCTGGGGGCTGGGATCGGGGATGGGGATTGGGAATCAAACTCGTGCTGCAGAGGCTGCGGATTGCTTCATAGTGTGGTGCTTAACCCCTTGCGCCACTAGGGAGGCCCGATTTAGCACTTTAATCAATTAAGGGATCTTGGGGCAGACCATCAAAAGGAAAGTTTTTTAAACTGTTAAACACAGATTAGAGGCCATTATTAAAAACTGTTTCATTTCTTTGATGCATAAAAATTGTCCTCAGATTGCAGAGAAGTGTAAAAACCAACATAAGTTTGATTTACAGGACTTTTCAAACTACAGTGAAAATCTTAGTACAAAACAAATAGCAGAAAAGTAGGTTTAAAAATTACTTTTTATTACACTATCTAGAATTTTGACTTTTCACCTTAAAAATAGTAAGTTGAAACTATTAGAACTGAGAAGTAAGAAAAGCTATGGTAAACTATGCCAAAGCCATCCATAACTCTTTGATTGTTTGTAATAATATGTTAACAACGAAACAATGTTTTTTAAACCTTTTTTGCTCACAGTGGCATGCTTACAGGGCTATCTTACTATAGTAAGTAAACTGATTTTCTGAGCTTTTTCTGATGTTTTCCATTTTTAAAAGTTTCTCAGTTTGTTTTAACTATATCAACTTGAGTTACCACATCATCATTGTCTTTGTTTCTTTAGTTCTGTATTTCTTTGCAAAATCAGAAAATCATACATCTCTGATTCTCTTGGTGTTTAGAAATTGCTTAGATGTGTAATAAAGAGTTACGGAGCAGAGAACAGAGTCTGAATTATAAGTTTCTTTGGTACAGTGTGATGTGTCAGTGCTATTACTCCAGCATGTATTATTATTTTCATAAGATCAAGTAAATAAGAAAAATAGTTATGCATGCTGTCACTTTTACTAAAATAAGAATGCCTTTGTGAATGTAGTATTGTGTGGTGTGTACATTCTTGTATATATATACTTATACACATACATAAATGCATAGGTATATATGCAATATATGTGCATTTGTATATATGCATATATTTCAATTTCATAAGCACTGCTGTCATGTTGTTTAAAACAGCCAATAGTACTAGTTTTCATGAAAAGAGAAACTAAGTGACAGAAATTGTTATAGTTGTATTGCTGCATAACCATGTTTTTTGTCAACAGTGATCCACACATAGGATGGTGGTCCCTAAATTCCCGATGCCTCGTGACATTTTAGATGTCATAAAATTGTGGCATTTTATATCAGCAGCAACTTCATGCATCTCTATTATATTTGCACAAAGGTGAAATTCTCTAATGATGCCTTTTTTAGACCATCCCTGTTGTTAAGTGACACGTGATTGTGTATCATTTACCCCAAGCTGTATCTGAACATATGCCAAAATTTTAAATGTCACATCTTTCTTTAACACCAGACATTTTCTTTCAATAGGGCAACAGTGAGCTTTGCCTATATGAGCCTTATTGTGAGTTATCAGACATTACAGTTTAAATATATTTTTATACTTCCCGAAGTTTCCGACAATATAAACATATGAACATTTTAGTTCTTCATAAACTTTTAAAATGTTGCCTTGTTAAAACTTGATCTTGTCTTAGCAATAAATTAGTTTCCCTTATTCCAGGTGCAGAATGGATTTAAGCTCAGATTGGGTTATGTGGGAGGATGTCTGTACTCAAAGGAGGTACTTACTTGTTTGTGGAGCTTCTAGAGGACTGAGGAATTGCCTAACCCAAAGGGAAGTTAGAAAGTGGTCCCAAGTGTCTGATTTGGACAAGAGAAACCTCTCCCAAGAGCAGCTTCATAAATATCACTGGCACAAAACTCACCTAAAGATTCCCTGCTTCTAACTCAGTGGCTCACTTCCTGTTCTCTCCTGCAGTTTCCATAGACATAAATCTCAGGTTTTTCCAGATGATTAGAGGAACAGCGTGTTTGTAATAGCATAGAAGAAGCAGAAGGGAAAAATGAATGAATAAATCAGTGAATGAATGAATGAATAGCAGTTTCCTGAGTGCATATCTAAACTTTATAGTTCTGTTTTTTGTCATTAAAAAGTGAAATTATTAAAATATTAAGGATATTTTTGATGTTACCTTAATTTTTACTTCCTTTGGAAAAAAATAAGATCTCTAATCTATTTTTTTTCCCTGATACTAACATGAAGAGTAAGATAGAGGACTTTTGTTTTAAAAGTTAAATATCAAATAAGTAGGGCAGCAGTCTGTCAGAATTGGTCAATGACTGAAATGCTTGCAACAAATAGAAACCCTTACTGTTAGTTAAAATTGCAGTCTTGTTTGTTTTCATTGATTTTTAGTCTTAATAATAATGAAAATCTAAGTAAGGAATAGAAAGACTTCTTGTTTTGATAAGCACTTAATTCACTCCTCATAGAACTAAGAAGAAAATAACTCACTCTGCCAGGTGAACATATATAAATCACTTGGCAGTCTATAAAACTTCATAAAGGATAATAGCAAGATGAAAGATTGGCGTAGAATAAATGCAAATAGCTTCACAGTTACACACTTTTATTTTAAACCATAGGCTCTAGAAGGATTCAAAAGTGTCTCTGCACAACTTTACTTATACTGGGTACTACACAAAACCTATCATCTTCTAGAGCTATTAAATTCCTGGGCCTACCGCTCAAGCTTAAGTAGCTATTGTACACAGTGTACATAATAATACACACTTACAGAAGGGAAATAATCTGTTTTGAAATTATAAAGGACTGTAAAAATACTGGTTATTCAGTGATGACTGAGCATTTTTGCTTGCTATTCGTTGACACTACTTTAATTTTCTCATTGCAATGAATATTTAGGAATCCTTGTGAATTTTGACTCTTTGGCAACCCCGGTCAATCTGACACAAAGCAATATGCAAAACAAATATTCACAGCTCTCTGGTCTGCTTTCACAAAAGGTGAGCATATAATGAGAGCCTAGAACTAGAACTAACCCTGCCTTATGTGGAAATAGAATAACAATGTTCTAGTATAGGAATAGCCTTTCCTCTTGGGTACTCTTTCTGGAATTTCCCTTTCAACTGTAAGAATTCTGCTCCTCAAATTGATCAAATCTGACTTCATCATATCTAATTCCTAAGTTTAGCCTCTCCAGATGTACATAATGAAATACGTTTTCCATAATTCTAAATCATATAGAATTCAACTATACCATTTTTATTTGCCTGTGATACTGAGTTCCTTTATTCTTAAGATAATTAATGACTCTTAACCATTGCATAGTAATAACAAGGAAAGGAAACAGGTGAGAAGGTGTAATTCCATTTTAATTTTATCAGCATTTATGAAGGGGCTGATAGAGGAACTGGAGTTTAATTATGTGAAATTTAAACAGTGTTTGTATCTTTCATCTTCCTGTGATTCCTACACCACCGGGAGCTAAGCTAACTTTGTGTTAGTCCCATTTATTACAGCCCTTTTAAAGAAAATTTTTATTTTTTTTTAACGATTTATTTATTTATGCATACAAGAGCTGTGGTACAGGCCAGAAATGCGGGGGGTGAGAGGATTCACCAGAGACAGAGGGGGGAACAGAACAGGCAGACTGACCAAAGTACACTGCTGAGGGCAGCAGTGGGCGAGTCAGGAGAGGTCTGCTGCGCCATGTGGGTGGCTCCCTGGCTGGCCGGGGAGTCGAACTCGTGCTGCAGTGGCTGTGGACAGCTTCATAGGTTGCGTCTTAACCCCTTGCGCCACCAGGGAGGCCCGAAAATTTTGTTGATTTTCACATATTTTTATTATGCTAATTTTAGGTAGAGTGTTATGATTATGACAGTGATGGGTCACATGATCTCATTGGAACATTTCAAACCACCATGACAAAACTGAAAGCGGCCTCAAGAAGCTCACCTGTAAGTTGCATCTTTGCCATTTACATATACTTTGTAGTTTGGTCATGTGTTTGTTATTTCATTTTTTAATTTGGTATAGCAATAGCAAGCAGTTTGCCATGATTTTACTCTATTACATAATGTTCTGAAATCTGTGCATTGTATTTGTTTACTAATCAGTTGATACAGAATTCATACTTTAGATATGAATATATATTTATATTTTGAAGTTTGAGTTCTTTTGATTTTAGGCAACATTAGATGGCTTGATTGAACCATCTATGGTGTTTTTTTTAAGATTTATTTTTTTATGCATACAAGAACTAGGTTACAGACCAGAGGTGCGGGGGGCGAGGGGGTGGGGGACTGTGAGAGGATTCACCAGAGACAGAGTGGGGAACAGAACAGGCAGACTGAGTGAAATACACTGCTGAGGGGAGCAGCGGGCAAGACAAGAGATGTTTGCTGAGCCATGTGGGTAGCTCCCTGGCCGGCCGGGATCGAACTTCTGCTGTAGTCCTGCAGATAGCTTCATAGTGCTGTGCTTAACCCCTTGCACCATCAGGAGTGCCTTTTGGAAATTTCACTAATAAATATTTCACATACTTAATAAGTAAGCAGTTGTTTCAGAGTTGTAGTTTAGAACTGGTCTATATCAGCAAGTGGTTTGATTCCAAGACAGAAAGTCATTTACTTAAAATCATTGGCATTTTTTATGCTATTAGTAATAATTAACATTTTATCTCTACAGGTTGAATATGAATGCATAAATGAAAAAAAGAGACAAAAGAAGAAAAGCTATAAGAATTCAGGTGTTATCAGTGTGAAACAGTGTGAGGTCAGTAGCTCTTCACCACTGTAGTATAATAGAATCACATTTTGAGTTCTATCAATGTGGTCTGTATTAGATAAACATTAGAATTTTAGGCTGTTGAAAAATTATATGAGCTTCTGGGCAGCTTTAGGAAAAAGAAGACTAGGAAAGGGTAAAAGAAATCCCTGAAGTAACTTAGCTCTCAGGATTTGACAACTTTTTAATAAAATACAAAGAATATTAAAGTTTTTCATTATCCCAGGAAATATGAGTCATTCTATTTTCCTAGCACAGTAGTGTAAAGACCTGACCCAGTGCATCTCTCCTGGTCATAATTCCAGGATGAAATATTGTAAGTGGAGGGGAAAATCCAAAAGATTTCATAGAACAATCAAGCTTCTTTATTTCTATTTTTAAAATGTTTTGATAGTTTGTTCAGGCTCTTAACATGTTAGACACATTACCAGTTTTTGAAAATTTAAAACAACTATTTCATCTTTGGCCATTAATATCCTAATATTACCATTGATAACCTCATCTTGAGGTAAATCTTACAGATACCTAACTTCTAGGGACAAGGGTATCTTAAACTCAAATGCAGGACGGGTTACCATGTGTTTATATCGTGTTCTTCTCAGCTTACCAACTGTTAAAATATGTGCCAAAGCGTTCTTTGTTTATCTTGTTTAATAGAAGAACTTTCATTTTAAGAGTTTGCCATTTGGTTTTAGATTACAGTGGAATGCACATTTCTTGACTATATCATGGGAGGATGTCAGCTGAATTTCACTGTAAGTAATATACTGAGTTTTTCACAGTAGGCTGTAACATATTGCCTTTTTCCCCTTTATTTTGCAGTATCCTTTATTTACTACAAATCTGACCTTGTGATGAAATTTACACAGTCTGTTTAGTATGTATGATCTTCTCAGACAACCTCTTTAGGTTTACCATGAAGCTTTTAGCTTTGTTGAGAAATCTGTTTCTTCAGGCAGAAAGCAGACATGTACAAATGAGTGATTATCCTCATTATTAAATAATAAAAAGTATTAATCAAATATACCAAAAAAAAAATCTTATGTCTAAAGCCATGAGAGTAGTGATTCATGATTTAAGGCATCTAGAAAGTAGGAACATCAGGTTATTTCATGCTCTCGGATCACTGTTGGACTGTTTGTGTTCCTCTCCTGAAGTCTTGTTCCTGGACATCAAGCAAAGGTGTTCTGTCTTTCTTACCTTAGTAAGGGCTGCAATTATTATCCGGCAGGTGGGAGTGGATTTCACTGGCTCCAATGGCGACCCAAGGTCTCCCGACTCCCTTCATTTCATCAGCCCCAATGGTGTTAATGAGTATTTGACTGCTATCTGGTCTGTGGGACTAGTCATTCAAGATTATGACTCGTGAGTATGAATAAATCTCAGTTGGGGGAGAATGTTTATACTTTGGAATACTTAGCAGCTCTTCACTTTATGTTATATATTCAGTTCATAAACCCTTTTCCCTAAACTGCTGAACCCAAATACTCATCCATTTGGCTACAGGAACATGGTATTTTTAAATGTGGCATTTATATCATGTTTCTGTGGCCAATTGCATGACTATAAGTGGCATAAATAAAGGCTATAAATAACCTCCTATCAGTTGAGCTCAGGTTTTGCTGTCACATGAGTTTTTTGTAAACAAATGGAAAACTTAGGTTTTTAAAAGGCCATTATGGGTTTATTTACATAATTACTCAGTGAAATGATTTGCAGTATTTAAGTAGAAAAGATTGTTATAAACATGAATATATATATATATATGTACATATAAATGAGTTATTTTTTTTCTTCCCTCAATGTGCAGGAAAATACTTAGAATTATAGTAGCCAAATGTTAACATTGGTTCTCTCTGGGTTAGTATTTGTTATCTTTGTTTTGTGTTCATAATATAAGATCCTGAATTTTTTAAGAAATAAGCTCATATTTATTGTGAATAAAGACAAAGCTCTATTTTGAAAAAGTGATCTTTTGCTTTTTTTTCAAATTTTCTTTTTAGTGATAAGATGTTTCCAGCTTTTGGTTTTGGAGCTCAGATACCTCCTCAGTGGCAGGTAACAGGAAATATCATTTAAAATTTTGCCTCCTAGAAAAGCAAAATGGGTCTCATCAGTCCCCCTTTCATTTCTGACAGGTTTCACATGAATTTCCAATGAACTTTAATCCATCTAATCCCTTCTGTAATGGTAAGTTTAAAAAATAAACATAAAATTTTAAGCTGAAAGCCTCACAAGTCTTTTTGTATTTGTTTTTCTCTTATGATTTAAAACTACTCAGATTCCCTCTCTCAGGTTCCTTTTTGTGATTTATTTAACTTTCTGTTGAATGAAGTAGAAGAATTGTACCAAGTTGGTTAACGTGGTAATGCTAATCCTGGTGCAAATCACTGTATGATGACGATTACAGGGAACTTTTCTACTTTAACAGGCTTATTAGAACAAAAGACTTATTAATTCTAGGAGTAGATCAGTACAAATAATCATTAATTTCATATATAATTTGATTTAAAAACTCTTCAACAAAAATGAGTAATGCATCCTACAGTTCTTTAGAAACTAGTCAAGGGTTTAACCTTGACTAGAATTAACATTAGGCGTAAGCCACCTAGTTTTTTTTTTTTAATGGGAAGGAATTTTAATGCAATTAGGAAATAATACAGGAAAGGCAAAGAATATAGTTTCTAAATCAAGCACCCAAAGTTACCCGTCCCCTCGTGGGTAAAAGTCCATCCAAATGGGATTGGCCCACAGCAAAGCCCCAAAACCTGCCACAAGTCTGAAGCATTTTCCAGTGGGGACCCACAGAAAGGGATCAGAAACAACCAGACAAGTCTGGAAGGAAAAAAGCAAAATCAAGAAAAAAACCACCATTGTCACCTCCCCACGGGTCTCTCACCCACATCTGTGTCAACCAGTCCACGACCACAAGGCAAGCGCAGTTTCTTCACATGTCTCTCGGCTCCATGTGCCTCCTCCAGGTCTCCTTCTGGCTCTCCATCCTGCTCCTTCCTTCTTCAGTCTCCTCTCAGCCACCTAGTATTTTTGTATACCCTCTGGTCATATATGCAAAGGTTTTTCCATTTTATTTGTTTCTTTTACCTCTTATCATCAGTTGTATAATGCAGTGCCTTTCCCATGTTTTCCATTAGTGTCTCCTTCCCAAAGTACATCAGAGATAAGCAATATAACAGTCTGACTGTAGACTAATGAACACATGGACAAAGATGAAAACAAATGCCTTCTACTGGGGGAAGGTAGAATTATAGGTGTTTATGAGGGAATATAGCTATGGAGTTTTGTAATGTATATACCTCAGAGGGACTAATATTAGAAGGAAATCCTAATTAAATTTTTGACTATTTAAAACACTAAATGTTTATATATATTTTAATTATATATACTATATATAATTATTTTAATTATACATATATAATTAAGTTAACCAACATGGTGAATGGTGAATATTAAACAATTAAATTTGTGGTTGAAAGTTTTTAATACTGCTTTTCTTTTTGTGTAGGAATACAAGGCATTATAGAGGCATATCGGGCTTGCCTGCCACAGATAAAACTTTATGGCCCAACTAACTTTTCTCCAATCATAAATCATGTGGCTAGGTTTGCTGCTGCAGCCACACAACAACAGAGAGCTTCTGTAAGTGCTCTATTACCAGGGGATGAGAAGAATGTGGACTGTTAGTTGTTCCTGGTGCCATTTTCCTATTTATTGTGTCTTTTGAGATATAAAGACAATGCATGAAGCAATGATACAGTCATCCTTGGTTTGGGAGTAACGTTTGTTGTTGCTAAATTAGTGATCATCAAAAAAATAAGAAAAGGCCTCCCTGGTGGTGCAGTGGGTTGAGCGCCGCACTGTGAAGGTGTCCGCAGCCTCTGCAGTGCGGGTTTGATTCCCAGCTGCCCAGGGAGAAACCCACATGGCGTGGCAGACCTCTCCTGACTCATCCGCTGCTCCTCTCGGCAGTGAATTTTGGTCCGTCTGCCCATTAATAATAATAAAAAAAACAAGACAACAACGAACAACCGTTACAGTCAAGAGTTTTTTCTCTGTCTTTTGAATTAATTTTCTTAGATAGGTTCTACCAAAAATAAAATAAAACAAAAAAGGCTACCCCTTACCTCTTTTTTTTTTAATTTTATTTATTTTTTTATAGAGGCATGTTTTTATTTATTTATTTGTTTGTTTGTTTTGTTTTTGTTTATACATGCACTGTGTACAGTCAGAAGCGCGGGAGGGTGAGAGAATTCACCAGAGCCAGAGCGGGGAGCAGAGCAGGCAGAGGGACCGAAGTACACTGCTGAGGGGAGCAGCGGGCGGCAGGAGGGGTCTGCGCGCCATGTGGGACCCTCCTCTGGTGGCCGGGGAGCAGCCAGGGATCGAACCTGCGCCGCAGAGGCCGCGGGCAGCTTCGCAACCCAGCACTCAACCGCTGCGCCACCGGGGAGGCCCCTACCCCTTACCTCTTTAAAGTAGACTTAAATTAAGGCTTGAGGAACTTAGCATTTCAGTTGCTGGTGCAAAATTGCTGTAATCATTACCTACTGGATCTTGGCTACCAGCTTCAGTCGGGTTATCTACCTCATATAGTTATTGAAAGGGTAAAATGAGATGATTCAAATAAAGAGCACAGTGCCTTGGTTAGGGTTAACACTCAGCAATGTTAGTACTATTATAAAGCTTATTCCTATTGTAGCCTAAACCACTCAAAAGATGTAGACACAACTCTAACATTTTTACCACTCTCTAATAAGGCTTATCAGATGACAGAACTGAGAGCCCCCCCCCCCTTTAAAACATATCCATTTTCCGAAATGTGTATTTTATTTAGGTAAACAGTTCTACTTCTATATTTAATTTATTTATTTTTAAAGATTTATTTTTTTATTCATACAAGAGCTGAGGTACAGGCCAGAGATGCCGGAGGTGAAAGGATTCACCGAGGCAGAGAGGGCAGAGAGGCAGAACAGGCAGATTGACCAAAGTACACTGCTGAGGGGAGCAGTAGGTGAGTCAGGAGAGGTCTGCTACGCCATGTGAATTGCTCCCTGGCTGGCCGGGGATCGAACTCGTGCTGCAGAAGCTGCAGATTGCTTCATAGTGCAGTGCTTAACCCCTTGCGCCACCAGGGAGGCCTCATATTTTATTTTTAAAGAATGGAGTTGCCGCTTACTTTCTTGATCAATACTTTGGCATATTTAATACTTAGCAAAATGAGTGTTTATTCCTGTGCTTACTGAAAGCTTAAACTTTGACATTTAAATATCTTGCTTTCATGTGTTTATGCCAACCCTGTTTTTTTTTTTGGTATGTTGCACTGTTAATGAACCTGCAGTTTTTGTATCTGTAAATTTCCTTGTAATCAGAACACTGGCATATTTTATGAAAATGGTATCCTGGGTAGAAACTGACAAGGAAAATGAGAAAGAAAAAGACTAAATGAGTCATTAAACTAGGGGTGTCATTAATCATTGCTTTTATTTGAGAGCTCAACTGCTCAGCTCAACCATAATTTTCTTTTTTGACAGCAATATTTTGTGCTCTTAATCATTACTGATGGTGTGATCACAGACCTTGATGAGACCAGACAAGCCATAGTTAATGCCGCCAAGCTCCCTATGTCCATTATCATAGTTGGAGTGGGAGGCGCTGACTTTAGTGCCATGGAGTTTCTGGATGGGGATGGTGGAAGTCTTCGTTCCCCCTCAGGCGAGGTAGCCATCAGAGATATCGTCCAGTTTGTGCCGTTCAGACAATTCCAGAACGTGAGTACCACCACTCCCTATTCTTTGTGTTCACTAGGTGTTTGAACACAGGCATTTGCCAATACACAGACAAGTAATTGAGTAGGTGTCCAGCATTGGAGAAGGCATAAATTTTCCATTTGAGTGCTGATTAGAATTGGCAGTTTGGCTTCAGGTTGTATACTTCTGTGCTTCTTATAATCTAGATAATCAATTGTTAAAAGATAGTGCAGTTGTCAACTAATTAAAACCTGTTTTATCTCTACCATGGAGCAACAGAAAAGCTCCATACAAGTATGTGATGGATTTACCAGACTGGAAGTAAATTGGACGAAAATCTCAGGATATGGTTTTACCCAGTTTTCTCCAACAGTAATAACATCTTGGAAAACTATAGTAAGAATCACACCAGGAAGTTGACACTGAAACAATCAAGGCCTATCACCTCAGGGCCCCTCATGTTGCTTTTTTATAGCGATCCCACCTCCCTCCCCCTTCATCCCTTCCTTAATCCCTGGTGACCACTAATCTCTTCTCCAGTTCTATAATTTTGTCATTTTAAGAATTACATAAATTGAATTATACTGTTTATACAGTATATTACCTTAGGATTGGTTTTTCTCATTCAGCACAATTTTCTGTTGCATGTGTTCTTTTTTATTGCTTACTAATGTGTAGTGGTTTAAATATACATACCTATGTGATTAATCATTTACCCACTGAAGGATGTGTTCAGTTGTTTCCAGTTGTTTATTACACAGAAAGTGGCTATAAACATGTGTGTTCAGGTTTTTGTATTAAGTTTCTAATTTCTCTGGGATAAATACCCAAAGGTACAGTTGCTGGGTCATATGATTGTTGTCTATATAATTACTAAGGTAATTGTCAAAGTTTTCCAGGGGTTATACCATTTTACATTCCCACCAGCAATGTTTGAATGGATGTTTGGAAGGTGTGATTAAAATGTGGTAATGTTAAGCCTTTTTGTAGTGATAAAACAATTGTGCATCTTGATGGTGGTGGTTATACAAATCTACCCTGAAATACACACACACACACACACACACACACTCTCTCCAGTGAGATCTGAATAAGATCTGTGAACTGTACTCATGTCAGTTTCCTGGTTTTGATGTACTATAATTATGAGGTATTACATTTGGAGAAAACTGGGTGAAAGGTTCATGGTACCTATTTCTGCAACTTTCTGTGAATCTATAATTGTTTCAAATAAAAAGTCATAGAAAAATACTAAGTGTATGACCTCCATTTAGAAGTTAAGGAACAACACGAAAAAAATCATCTAATGCCAAAATTCTGGCACCAAAAAAGGTGCCAAAATTCTGGCACCTAAATGTTAGGGGGATAAATTAAGCTAAGTAACACTGGTTATTTAACCTATTCCATCTTTCATGAGCTATTCCAAAGATAAGGCATGAGCCTAGGGATTGGGAATTACTACTTTTTACTGAGTAGAGTGGTATTCTTAGTTTCTTATCAAAATGCCAGTAAAATTTGCTAATAATAATATGTTGATTTTGTTTTCCCAAGTCTCCAAAAGAAGCACTTGCTCAGTGTGTCTTGGCAGAGATTCCCCAGCAGGTGGTGGGCTACTTCAATGCATACAAACTCCTTCCTCCCAAGAACCCAGCTACAAAATAAAGGAGCAGTGGCTGCCGCAAGCGTTGTTCTTCTGTGCTGTGTGGAGCAATACATTCATCTCTCGACCCAAATCAGGGGTCTGTCATTTAAATTGTACTTTTTACCCCAACATTTATGATGTAAACCTGGTTCTTTAATGGATTGTATCTAAAGTATTCTTTTTATATACTTTTTAGAGGAAAGTTCTGAGTTAACCTTTGCCCAAATAATTCAGTGATGCTGATGATTTATATTAATTGAAGTGAGGCTATTTATCTTAGTAGCTAGTGTGAAAGAAGTCATTTTTTTGGTGGTTGTTTATTTTCAGGCTGTTTCTGAATGTTTGTCAGTAGAAAGAATGTAAAATTGTTGGAATGATGCAATTTGCAGGATGCTTTACTTTGTTTGCTATAGGCTCTATGTTTTTTTATAAGCTATGCCTACATCTGATTACGAGACCTTCTTAAGTTAGATGATATTTGTTCCTATAACTGTATTAAGTGCTTTTCCATGGGATAAAACTACCTAAATTTTGCTGCAGTTTAGAGAGACACTGCACAGTTTACAAAGTAGCCTGCATTTGCATAATACTTAAGGAAAAGTACTGAATTACTTTCCTTCCAGAAGGAAAGGTACATACCCAATTCTTAAAATGTACAATCAGTGAGTAAAGAGAATCTTATGAGAGCAAGCCATTTTATTTGCCTTTCTAATCTTTTGTTTTCATCGTGGAATACAATAAACATGGTTGGGTTCAATGTTTTCATTGACTATATGTGACACTCAGGATTCTCTATCTGCACAGATGATAGGTTACACTAGATCCAACATTATCAGATTATTTTAATTAGAGTTTGTTAACATGGTTATGTCTGCTTTGTCTAGGAAAATAAGGAGGACCAAAATATAAAAGGAGAAGTCAGAATTCCATTTCCTTCTAACTAACGAGTTTACATACTAAAAAAAGATAGTTTTTATGCTTTCCTTGCCAAGATCCCATACATTGATTTGTACATTTGTATAGATTCATTTAAACATTTTTTCCTTTTCTTAGAATAACTTTTTTAGTCCGATTTCTAACTTCATGATACCAGTTATTAATCAAAATCACATTTTGATAATCTGCTATTTCCTAAGTCCAGAATGTATTGTATTCAGCAGAAAACTTGCAGTTAAAAAAAAAAATCCAGTTGCTACATTAGGATAGAGTAAATTGGACAGGCTTTTTTTTTAAAAGTAGAATTTCCCCCCTAAGTTTTGCCTTTTAGAATATATTACTTAGCAAGCATTACATTTTCTAAGTACATTCAGTAACATTTATTGAGGACCTGTGTACAAAGTACTGTACATATCCATATATCGGTCAATCATCTTTAATAATTTAGCACTAAAAATTGCATAATTCTCACGTATCCTTAAGTGGATGCACACAGTGCCTTGTTGACATGAAAACTTGTGCCACAGCCCATGTCTCTTTTTCTCTGAAATGCCTGAAGGAAGTAAGCTCTTGGCCATATCAGCTTTTGCTTCTCAGAAACAGTCATTACCAAGGTCAAGTTCAGAGGGAGGCTGCTTGCTGTCCTGGTTGTCTAGCTAACCCAGGTGAGCAGTTATCACCTTCCCACTGAGCTTACTTGTCTCTGGACATGTGCTGTTAATCCCCAACTACCTAACTAGTAAAGTAATCCATTACTCTCTTCAGGCAACAAGCCATTTTGACATCAGGTGAGAAGAAAACAGATCATTCTTTAATTCTTTGTTTCTCATATGTCCTAATTTCAGTTTCCCCCTTATGTACTTGAATCAGTATATATGTGCTGCCATGGTTTTCAGAATTTTCTTTCTTAAATATGCAAAGTCTTTAATAAAATGATTTGCACATGTTCTCAATGTATAGTAAGATATATAGGGTGGAGCTTTTCTGTTTGAAGTGAGGGCAGGTTCAGAGTCCCACATGCAGGTCCTCCTCCTGCCTCCTGTGTAGGGTCGCCTGTTCTTCCAGCACCTGAGTTACCTGCACAGGGACTGGGAAGCACTGGTCAGAAGCATTCGTTGTTTTCATTGGCCAAATAACAGTACTTCTGTCATCACCATTGACTTGATTGGTCTTCATGATTTTATATTGTTTTTTTACCAGAATTGTTCTCTTTGCAAAATTGTTTTATACTCTTCATTCTTGGATAGTTTCATAAATCTATGCTATTATTTATAAGAACTATGATTCTACTACATTAGGATAATTGGTACCTTCCTGCAGTTTTGAATAAAAGCATTAATAATTTTTAAAATACCATTTTATAAAGTTCTTAGAGTTTTGACACTTTACCTCATTGCATGCCGATATAATATTGCTTTATATTAATATTGTCTTGGTCCCTATTGTGTCACTATCCAGTCAAGTGCCATTAGTTCTTAAAATGGTCTGAAAAAAATAATCCAGTTGACTTTCACATATTAGTATCAGATATATTACAAACAAATATTGGCGTGACAGTGACAAACAAATATCAGATATATTACAAACAAATATTGGGGAGAAATATTTCTCACATGTATCTGTCCTGAGAAAATGATGAACCAACTAGCACGGTCACATCATAATGGTTAGAATTGAAATTTTAATATCATAAAAATTTTAAGTCAGATCAGGGATTTATAATTGTTCACTTTGGTAGTGCCTTAGGCCTTTCCAGAGTAAATTCAAGGCCTCATGCTATTTATACTGTATTTTGACATAATTGGCCTTTTTGGTTATGTACATTTTATGAAGAGCCAACTTCAATAAAATCTCTTCTAGCCTTTATGTGTGAGGTAAAATATGTAGAAGTAACATGAAAATTAAACCACAAGTTTGGGGCCTCCCCTGGTGGCGCAGCATTTGAGCGTTGGGCTGCAAAGCTGCCCGCAGCCTCTGCAGCGTTGGTTCAATCTCTGGCTGCCAGCGAGGGTCCCACATGGCGCAGACCTCTCCTGCCACGCCCGCTGCTCCCCTCAGCAGTGTACTTCTTCATCAGTCTGCCTGTTCTGCTCCCCGTTCTGGCTCTGGTGAATTCTCTCACCCTCCCGCACTTCTGACTGTACCCAGTGCTTGTATAAATAAATAAATAAATCTAAAAAAATTTTTGGAAAAAAAAAAAAAACCAACCACAAGTTTGGTTAAGATTATAAGAGACTCTTGTGCTTTTATAGATGTCATACTTGATAATTAGTTTATATGTTACTACTATGTAAACCGCTGTTCAATATCTTCCATTTGAATTCCCTTTGGATAAAATTATTTCTTGATGCAATACAGTAGTGCTTTGTTTTCATTTTCATTCTTTCTCTAAATTAATCAAAACCAACAAGAATGTTAGAAATAAAAATGAATGTAGTATTTTGGGTGGGCTGTATTCCATATTTTCCCATATCAAACCGTCTCAGAGGACTTTATTATTTTATGATATTTATTTTAAAGATATCAAATATATTCAAGGTACTTCCTGGATGCAGTAAGGGAAAAACTTTAAGTTTATAATGAGGCTGGTCTGAAAAATATGGTGCTAACATTTTATCAGTTGTGCTAAACAGTAGAATATATCCACCTAAATTAAAAAAAAAATTTAATTTTATGTTGTAAAATTAAATTAAAATTTAATTTTATGTTGTAAAATTTTATGTTCTGTTATGTTGTAGTAATTTGGTAAGACCTTGGGGTTATGGTGTCGAGCTGGAGAGAGATGGTTGTTTCCTCCCTGGAAAAAATGGACTGGGGAAGAGAGAAAGTAAATGAGTAATTATAGAGAGCTGTGTGTGATTTAATAAATAATGGGAGGAGACCTAACCCATGGAGGAGGAGAGGAGCAATAACCAGAGAATATGCCACTTAAACTAAGACCTAAAAGTTAGGGGGATAAAGGTGAAAGGCATTTATGAAAATGTCAGGTAAACAACAAAGACGGAGTCGAATTGTTTTAGGAATAGAAAGAAATTTTAAGTTTTCTGGGACCTAAAGTAAAGGGGGAAAGTGCTGGAATTGTGGAGAGGTGAGGTTGAGGGCTCTGTGTGGTTTGCATCCTGGGGAGGCTTTTGGGACATGAAGGGGATTTCAGACTTAGGATAAAGGTAATTGGATTAGGTAAATGCTAATTTTATCAGGTTAGTCCATGATCTTCACTTTTGGAATACTATGTGGGACACCAGTCTTGACCTTCCAGCTTCTGAAATGAGAAACTTCTGTTGTTTATGAAAACAAAAGAAAGGAAGAAAACCATAACAATGCAGTATCTTTTGCCTTGGACTCTGCCATATTGTGATGTTATCCTGTACTGGTTCTTGTTTTGACTTTTGTAAATGGAGGCTTGGCGTAGGAAACTCAGTTCACTTTCTTTCATGTTTCAGATTATGATATAAACAATAGAGCTTGATTTATTTAAAGCTAGATTCAAGAAACTGCATTACGGGTCCACTTAATAATCCTTAGCATGCACTGTGTGCTGAATTCTGGATTACTTAGGATTCTCAGCAGAGAGAATCCTCATAAATTTGTAGGAGAATTATTGTGTGCAGTGGGCAGGGATAACTAGAGATGCAAAGGGAACCCGGGAGGGTCTGTGACCTTTCATGTGTACTTTCTTTTCTTCATCCAAGGGAGTTACTATCTTGAAATGTCAAGTTGTATTGCTTAATGATGCACATTTATTTGACCTTTGCACCATCACTTCTAGTCACAAAAATTATAGTAGAAAAAATACAGCCAACCATAAAAACTCATAGAATAAAACATCAAATTTTACTACAGTGTAGAGGAAGGTACGTAAAACATCAATTTCAAATATCTTTGGTCTGATTAGATGTAATAAATTCTAGAACAGTATAATGATTAAGATATCTAAGATTTTTAAAGTTCTTCATAGGAAAATAATAGAAACAAATTACAGAAAAAGTACAGACCTGGGGCCTCCCCGGTGGCGCAAGGGGTTAAGTAGCAGCACTTTGAAGCCTTCGGGCAGCTACTGCAGCACGAGTTCTATCAATTGCCAGCCATGGAGCTGACCATGGCACAGCAGACCTCTCCCGCCTCGCCCACTGCTCTCCTCAGCAGTGTATTTCAGTAGATCTGTCTGTTCTGCTCCCCACTCTCTCTGGTTAATCCTCTCAACTCCCCAAACCTCTGGCCTACATCCCAGTTCTTGTATGCATAAATAAATAAAATCTTAAAAAAAAAAAAAAAAGTACAGACTTTTCTCATGTTGGTGTTCAATGTATCAATTTTTTCATCTAATGCATAACTGGAATGAAACAGTGTGTCATATTATTTTAGGGCTATTTAAGCCCTAAATTTAAGCCCTAGAATATGGAGAGAGAACCAAGTTACTCCTTTCCTGTGTGTGTACTTAAACCTTTTGGCTCATTTTAATACAGTATTTGATATAGTTATACAAGTAAAGTGATTTCAAGTTCAAAGTTCTCTTTTTTTAAAAAGATTTATTTTTTTATACAAGAACTGAGGTACAGTCAGAGGTGCGAGAGGTTAAGAGAATTCACTGCAGACACAGCAGGGAGCAGAACAGGCAGACTGACCGAAGACACTGCTGAGGGGAGCAGCGGGCGAGACAGGAGAGGTCTGCCATGCCATGTGGAATCTCCCTGGCCGCCTGGGAATTGAACCCTCACTGCAGAGGCTGCGGACATCTTCACAGCACTGCGCTCAACCGCCTGCACCATAGGGAGGCCCTCAAAGTTCTCTCTTTTATATAAAGAAAGATTTTGTTTATTTTTGACATTCTGTATATAGGGTTGCCAGAATCAGTAAACAAAATACACGTATTCAAGTCAAATTTGACTTTTAGATAAACAATGAATAATTTATTAGAAGCACATTCCAAATATGGCGTGGGGCACATCAATAAAAACATTCATTAATTGGATATCCTTATTTTATCTGGTAATGCTTTGGTGATACAATGCAGAAGTGGCCACAATCCTTCCCCTCTCAATATCTACCCCTTTTGCCATGTGACTCTGCTGTCCTCCCATCAAGAGATGGATTTTATTTTCCCATCTCTTGAATCTAGGTTGGTTTGCCACTTAGCTAAAAGAAAAGTAGAAACTGATGTGCCAATTCTGAATCCAGAACTTGAAAACTCTGCACTCTTCTGCTTTCTCATTTGTAACCCTGCACAGCCTCCAAGTCCAGCTAGCTTTTGGAGGATGGGAAACCACTTGTTCCTTCCGGCTGAGTCTTCCTAGACCAGCCAGTCCCTAGTCAATCAAGCAATTGATGACAGACCTGAATTAATCCAGCTAAGACCAGAAGAACCACTGAATTCAGTACAAACTGGGCGCCTTGGAATTGTGATTGTTATTTTAACTCACTAACTTTTAGCTAGCAAAGCCAATCAATAGAGTCTAACAATGTAAAGCATTTTTTAAAACTAGAGAACAGCTTATAGGTTGTGCTAAGTTTTGAGAGCCACAGATGAAAGTAATATGAAGTAATTTTGTGATCAATTTTGAGCAAATAACACCAGAGGAGTCAAAATTGCTTACTAAATAAATACTTGGACCCACAGAAAAAAAATTTCAATTGTTAATTTAAAGTTTTAAAGTACAGAACTTCTGTTGAGTGACTCCTTGCTTTCTCTTTCCTTCTCTGAAGAATTTTTCAGGATATGTCCCATATGTCCCTTTTAAGCAGTCCATTCTGCATTACACCTTTGGTGATTGGTTATGAGGTCAGGTCCAGGTAGGGGTAAGGGAAGAAGTTTCACATATTTATGCAAGTAGTCAGTAAAGGACTACTTGTTACTAGTCAAATGGCTAATGAATATAGGCTATTGGGGTTCAAAGAAGAGAGAGATGTGGGTTAGCAGTGCTAGGGGAAGAAAAAGGTTTTAGAAAAACCTCACTCCTTTTTTCTTTTTTAAGATTTATTTATTTATACAAGAACTGGGGTACAGGTTAGAGGTGCTGGAGAAAATTCACCAGAGAGAGCCGGGAGTGGAAAAGGTAGACGGACCAAAGACACTGCTGAGGGGAGCAGCAGGCGTGACAGGAGAGGTCTGCCATGCCATGTGGGTTTCTCCCTGGCCGGCGGGGCCTGCACTGCAGAGGCTGTGGACAGCTTCACAGCGCTGCGCCACGGCGGAGGCCCAGAAAAACCTCACTCTTTATTGGTGGGGTGACCTGGATGTTTGGGTTTTTGACTTTTGGCCAAGATGAGAGTGATAGGATCTGTGATGTGGTATCAAAATGCTGAACTCCTGTAGTGATCCGCAGAGTCAAATCTTTCACTGGAGGTTTTCTAGTGGTCTAACTGGTTGGTCAGCCTCTATTTTGTGGCTAGAGGGATGGAAGACACCTGCCATCACCCCCACCCAAGAGAACCTCAGCTTAGAGGTCCTCTGCAGCCAAGATTCCTTGTATAGATGTTTTTGGTTCAATCCCAAAACAGAATGTGATCAAATCCCGGCATGACTAGGGATGCTGGGAACTTGCTTGTGGGATGTCAGTCAGACCTGTCTATGCTTGTCTGTACACTGTTTCTCTTGTAGCATTGTACCTGTTACCTATTTTATGTGTGTTTGAATATGCTCTGTCGAGTGCTGCGAGTGCCTTCCAATTCTTGTAAATATAGAATAGAACCAAATTAAAGAAAGAACAGATACTTCTCATATTGGGGCTCCATGTAACAATTTTTCACATAAGCATACCCGAAATGGAACAAAACCTGGTGTACATTATTTTAGATTTATTTAACACCAGTGTTAAGCTAACAGATATGTAGAGGTGCCAAATTACTCCTAACTTGGGACATCTTTGTAGTCACAATGACTCAAGGCAAGTTACACTGAGGTCTGGCAGAATGATAAAGGAAGATTTAAGGAGGCTGGACCCTCAGTCTGCTTACAGCCTTGCCTTAATTTGAGCCTATCAAAACATCACTTCCTTTAAACTCTACCTACCCTCAACCTTTCCCTAATTTCCTGTAGTGACATGTACTTTCCTTATCCTGGAACATCTATATTTTCTCTGGCGAGGTTTCCCTTTGTTACTGCAAATTAGCAAACTTGAATTTGTTGGTTTGTAGGTTTTCCCCCTAATTTTCTTTAATGAATAAACTTTGTAAAAATACACATACACGGTATTATTGAAGGCATTATTTTTTCTTAACTTAAACAAAACCAGATTAGTTTTTTTTTTTAAAGATTATTTATTTATACAAGCACTGGGTACAGTCAGAAGCGTGGGAGGGTGAGAGAATTCACCAGAGCCAGAGCAGGGAACAGAACAGGCAGATTGATGAAATACACTGCTGCGGGGAGCAGCGGGCATGGCAGGAGAGGTCTGCACGCCATGTGGGACCCTAGCGGGTGGCCAGGGATCAAACCGGAGCTGCAGAGGTTGTGGGCAGCTTTGCAGCCCAGCGCTCAACTGCTGCGCCACCAGGGGAGGCCCCAAAACCAGATTAGTTTTAAAAAATGGTTTATTTATGTTGTCATGTGTAAATCTAACTCATTAAATCTTCTAAAGCCTGGATAGAATTTCATTTTTTAAAAAAAGATTATTTATGCTTACAAGAAGTGAATTATAGGCC